AAAGGGGTGGTTCACTGGTTTTTTTCTAGGCTTGATTGTGTTTATGAGGTGCAGTCTAACATGTGTTAATGCTTCATTTTTTTAAAAACGCATTATTTTTCACATAATTTACCTTTATTCCAAACCGCTCTGTCCCTTCTCTGAGAAACGGGCTGATCATTTCCTCCTTTTATGAAGACTGGGTTTGTGATGTCACGAACCCGGGAAGTAACTTGTTGTAGTCCCTACCAGCCGTTTTTGTAGGCATTAAACTGACAGAATTTTAAAAGACGATATCTCCGTTTGCATTGAACTTTCAGCTTCGTAACTTTGCAGATATTGTTTATGCTCAAACAGCAACATTAGACACTAACTAATGTTAAAAAAGTGAAATCGCAATCAGCCACCCCTTTAAGAATTGGTAAAAGACTTGGCAAAGGCTAAATATATTGTGTATATGCACAAGAGGATTTTGGCTAACGCTGAGCTGAGGCAATGCATATGGAGAACTACCGCCCACAGTGTTGTATGTTTATGAGAGGTGTGAGTTGCCACTGTGCCTTCGTACACATTCATCGCACGTGTCAGTTTTACGAAGTAGTCATTTCTCAGAAGCATGATTAGAGCATTAGTTGTTCATCTGATTTGAATTTCCACGTCCTTCCCTTCATCCGCCGTTCAATCCTCTTTCTAATAAACGTCACCTCACGTCTCGTTCACTCACCACCTCCTCCTGAGATGCAAACAACCCCTCCCTCCGCATTGTTCTCAGTCCTCTCGTCTGTGTTTCCAGATCCTTGATTTTAATAAGAGGCCCCTGGTGGCCCCTCTTGTGCTCTTGAGTGTGTGAGCTGGATGCTGTCTGAGTTCGGATTTGAGTGTTTATACGTGTGTTTATGTTTTCTGTCTGTTGTTTTTGCAGTCAATGTAACTGTCATTTGCATTTGTATGAGAACCCAAAGCGGTCCTCATTATGAGTCATATACAATATAATGGAATATATAAAAGGAATTGTTTTTATCAGATGCAGTCGAATAGATTGGAAATGTTCCATCCTTAATAGTACTTGTACACGGAGTTCAAAGGGAAAACAATTAATTTTGATTAAGTCCTTTATTTTATAACAGATCTGTCAACACCATAAAGCAAAACGTAATTTTATTCAGTGATCTGTGTGATGGGAAATCATTTGAATTTCTTTATCCAGAAGTGCTGAGGTGGTTTACATGATATTCTTGTGATGCACTATAAATGTTTTTGGTCAGGTTTTTTGAATTATTATTTAGAGTTTTTGTGTGTGTAGTTTGGAGGTCAGTCTACAGAAGCGAAGCGAAGGGCCGCTGTGGTCTGAGGTGATTCTTGGGGACCGGAGGGGAGAATATCTAATGAGTGATGAACAAAAATCACAGCTTCAGCAGAGACTCTCATATCTCACTTCTGAAGACCTGGTCAGTTTCTTTCACTAACTTTTGGGGGATTACAAAAAAAACACTATTTACTTGATTTTTTTTTTTAGCTGTGGGTCTTAATTTTTGGAAAATGTATACAAATCATTTTTTCATAATAAATAATGTATGTTCTTTTCACATTGTTTAGAGTTAAACATATTTAAATCTAATATTTAAGTATAATTATATATTTTTCATTGTATTTAATAGGATATTTTGTCTTAAAACATTATCATAGTTTTAAATGTGATCTTTCATATTTTTATGATGGATTTTCATTGTTTAGAATTTAATGTTAAGAAAAAACATTTTTTTTATACGTAAGATATTTAAAACATAGCAAAGACATGTACTGGAAAAAGTTTCTAAATTGTTAGTATTTGTTTCCTGTTTGTCTTCATAGAATCCAAACCCAGAGAAGGACAAGCCCCCTTGCAACGCCCAGGAACTGGAGGACTGTGACATGTTTCCGGAGGACAGCTCTACACTGATGCGCTTTGATGGTGCCACTCTGAAGCCCACCCATGTGGTAAGGCCATAGGAATACATAGGGGCTTCAATGTCCAGATGTTGTCTGTAATTGGTCAGATATATTTCACATTATCATTATTTAGGTGTAAATTATTGTCCAGACCATGGTCGAACTACTGTGAACCAGTAACCAGTCACATACAAAAACAACAAACACCATTTAACGTACATGTTTAGATTTTTGGTTTCCAAACTTAAGTTTGAAAAGTATTGCATTTAACGAACATATTTTAATATTAAGCCTATTTTGAGCATTAAACATCTTTGCATCGGTAGATTCATGAGCTGGTTCTAACCGAGATATATATATATATATACTGTATATATCCATAAATTAGTGACAAACAGTGCAGGACAATGTATCACTCACAGCTGACATGTTAATATTGAACCCTATGGAAGGCTATGTTAAATTATGATTTGTCATCAGTATTTTTTGTGATTTAAATTTTGTGAACAGGAATTCCTCTTTTGCTATGTTATAAGCCGAGCTTCGTGTGCTTTCACTTTTACTTTCGAATTCGCGATCTTGGTGTCACGTTTTACAAGAAAAGATAATAGTCTGTTTTGCTTGTATCTATACACCTTTCACTTTTTAAGACTAAAACAAAAGATGGATTCATTGTTATTCGTAATTAAAAAGCACAACAATAATAAAACATTAGGCTATAATGACAAACTAGCTTACATTTTATTAACAAAAACGAACAAGACGAGGCATGGCATGCACCACATACCGACTAATAAATTACATAATGTTAGCAAACACTGAGGAATCAAATAAATAAAAAAACAAAATAATTAAAGAAAGCCTCTATAGCGTAACGTGTGGTACACTGTAAAAAAAATTCTGACATTTATGGTAAAATACCGGCAGCTGTGGTTGCCAGAACTTCACCGTAAAAAATATGGTAGCAACATTTTAGGTTTTACAGACTTAACTTAAATTCACAATAAAATACGTATTTCATTAACTTATGTAATGTTAATAAACCAACATATTGAAGTACTAATATCTGTATTGAACTACTGTAGCATTTTTACAGTCTTTTACTGTTAAAATCACAATCATTTTTACAGTGTAGGCTAAACAGCAAAGATAACAAGCTTTTTAAAACTAACATCTATACACCTTTCACTTTTTAAGACTAAAACAAAAGATGGATTCATTGTTATTCGTAATTAAAAAGCACAACAATAATAAAACATTAGGCTATAATGACAAACTAGCTTACATTTTATTAACAAAAACGAACAAGACGAGGCATGGCATGCACCACATACCGACTAATAAATTACATAATGTTAGCAAACACTGAGGAATCAAATAAATAAAAAAACAAAATAATTAAAGAAAGCCTCTATAGCGTAACGTGTGGTACACTGTAAAAAAAATTCTTTACTGTAAAATTACATTAAATGTAATTACGTTTATTCACCAAATATAGTATGGAAACTTACTGTTAACCAGTTAACAGGTTTTTACTGTAGCATTTTTACAGTCTTTTACTGTTAAAATCACAATCATTTTTACAGTGTAGGCTAAACAGCAAAGATAACAAGCTTTTTAAAACTAACACAAAAAGAAAAGTAAAACTAAACTGGCTGTCAGTGACAGGACTTGCATGTTTTTTTTCCCACAAGAATACCAACATTTTCGGTCTTTTACTTTACTTTAGCTTGAAAACCATCCATCGTTTCCTCAATATTCGCGTCATTTTTGTCGCGCGCTCTTGCTGACGCGGCGAGTATAAACCAGGCTCTACACCTGAAGCGCTCGCACTGAAAGCGCCTCTGTCACTCTCTTCATGTCATCAGTGAAATCTGACTCCTGCTATATGTGCCGCAGCTCTGCAACGCTCGCTGTATGGAGCAGCGCAGACCATGCACTCGCAAAAATGCGACCACGTCAAATTTTAACTCGCACATTCTCAAAAAATTGTCACAGTCTAGAGCCCTGCAACCATTTGTTGCCATTTACATTTTTTCATTTGGCAGAAACTTTAATTCAAGTCATTTTATTCTACATTTATTATTAGTAGTAAAAGTAGTAGTAGTAACAACAACAATAATAAATAATCAATCAATCATCATCATTATCATCTCATGGCTTTTTATTTACTATTCATTTTTGTCTGTACATGTAGTACAATTGTAAAGGCTTTTTTTTTAACATAGAATAAAATTCCACGTCCTGAATCATCACCCCAACCCCCCCACCATTTCCTCTTTTCCTCTCACTTCTAAATCACTTAGATTGATGCAGTGAAACGCACTGACCTTTTTCTGAGTGCACTCGCTGACAGATTGTAAAGCCGCCTCTCTCCAGGTTCTGAGGAGAGCCTTTCCCATGTCGACCTCTTCAGACATTTCAGATTGCATGTTTGTTTCCCTCAGCTGGGTGCTGGAGCAGACCTGAAAGAACTTTTATTTCTTTTTTTTGTGTGTGTTCCTGTAGAGTGGCACCTCTCCTTTGAGAAAGACACTCGTCTTTCAACTCGAAGCCACCACAGCAACAAGTGAAGGAGACGGTTGACATTTACTGTATATGTGAATGATGTGTATCTCAAGAGCTCCTCACCACAATTTGAGACGAGCAAAGTGCTTTTCTGTTAAATATAGACAGTATAATGCTGGAGATGTGGTTGATGGATGGTTATTTTAATATTTGTTGCCTGTAGTAATCTGTAGTAATGCATTGCTCAAATGCTACTTTTGTAGTTGACGTGATTAAATTAAGTATTAACCCTTCGGCTGTCACTTGAATTCATGGAGCTCAAGGATTTTTTTTTAAAACTTGTATGGCTTTCCTCTGTGGACAAAAAAGAAGACGACCAGGATTATTATACTTCTAAATGTAAAACTGCAAGAAAAATAACTGAAATAATATAAACATTAACTGAAATAAAATAAAATATATATAAAAAAACGTAACTTATTTTTTTCATCTGTTTGCCAAGGCAACATATTTTCATTTAGTTAAACCTGAAGTACCAAAATCACTAAAACTAAAACTGAAATAAAAATGTATAAAAGCTACATAGACATTTAAAAAAAAAAAAAAAAGGCACAAAAAAAAAAACTCAACTAAATTACAAAAAATTACTACAATTAAAATAATTAAATATATAAGTAAAATTAACAAATAACTAACTCCAATTAAAATTTAAAATATAAAAATAAAAACTTCAAAGTATATTATTATAATAAGGTGAGCATATCTAGCTGGCTGAAAAACAGGTTTTTTTTTTTTGTTTGTTTTTTTTTGGGTGGGGTCAATGAAAATATTGGTATGCCAAGTAAAAATCTGAACTGCAGGCCAGCAGAAAAAAACCTTATTGTTGAGCTCTTCACAACTGCTGTGTTCATGAATGAAACATGAGACTGTGTGATGTTCTTGTGAAGCAGTTCTGGCACAGCCAGGTGCCCATTTGTGGAGAGCCATAAACATTTCGACCTCTCACTGAGAGACCAAACAGTAGTGTAACTCTGAACATAATGAAACAAAGGTTTTAAGGGCCTTTATTTTAAGATGCGTTTCATTATCGGTCCTCCTGTTCTCTTTGTGTGGTGCTTTTGACGCCATAAACGTGCACATCAATGGGGTCAGTTACAATCGCTCTCATAAACAATACAGAGACACGTTTCAAAATCCCCTCATAATTACAGTCTAGAGAAGTTGGCTTTGTGTGCAAGTTTGTTTGTTTTTTCAGTGAAAATGAGTGGTGACGGTAGATAACTGGACTGTAATTGCCTTAGGAGAACTTTTAGGCTCTGTTGCAAAGGTTGTTCAAAAAGGTAGGCCTCAGAATTATGCTTTGACCTATTTGTCCAAATTCTTGCATTATTGGGTGTATCCTTCCTGAATTAAGCAATTTTACAATTTTACTTTACAATTTTACAATTTGTACATGCTCACTGGAAAAACAAACAAAGAAATGTCGACTATAAATATTATATAAAAGTTAATAAAGTTAAAATGCTGTACATATTACTATAAAAGTTACATTTCATTCACTACTAAGAAGTATCACTAAAAATACTCCAGTCTGGAATGTCTATTGTTTTGTTAGCTTAGTAGCATGCTAATTTGTAAAGCTTGAAACTCTGTTGGAATCATTTGGAGCTATTGGTGTTTGTAGACCTAAAACCCGGAAGTAAAATTTTATTGTGTTTATTTATTTATTTTTGAGTATAATGAATAAGATCTGTGGTTAACATCTACTTTTTGTATGTAATGGTTTCATATGTGCTGCATTTATTTTTAAAAATACAGTAAAAATAATAATAATATTGAAATATTACAATTTAAATGAACTGTTTTGTATTTTAATATATTTTAAAATGTAATTTATTCTTGTGATGGCAAATCAGATTTTTTCCTTCAGAAATCATTATATGCTGATTTGCTGCTTAATAAACTTTTTTTTTTAATCAGTGTTGAAAACATTGTGCTGCTTAATAGTTTTTTTTTTTTGAGATTCTTTGATGAATAGAATGTTAAAAGAACAGCATTTATTTGAAATAGAAATCTTTTGCAACATTACAGATGTCTGTCATTATTAATGTCAGTCTTTATCAATTCAGTGCATCCTTGCTGGATAAAAGTATTGAATTATTAAAAAATAATGATGCCAAACTTTTGAAGAGAATATATGTATATATATATATATATATATATATATATATATATATATATATAAGAAGACACAGACAGAATTGTTGGTTTTACATTATGCAATTATCCAGGCCGATTTATAAAGTCTAAGTATAATTGGAACATAACTTTAAAAAAAATAAAAAATTCTTTCTTTAAAAATACCATTCAAAATTTTGTAAAGAAATACTTTTATTCAGCAAGGACATGTTAAATTGATCAAAAGTGACAGTAGTGGCTTTTTATTTTTTTTATTTACTGCATTTATTTTTAAAAATACAGTAAAAATAATAATAATATTGAAATATTACAATTTAAATGAACTGTTTTGTATTTTAATATATTTTAAAATGTAATTTATTCTTGTGATGGCAAATCAGATTTTTTCCTTCAGAAATCATTATATGCTGATTTGCTGCTTAATAAACTTTTTTTTTTAATCAGTGTTGAAAACATTGTGCTGCTTAATAGTTTTTTTTTTTTGAGATTCTTTGATGAATAGAATGTTAAAAGAACAGCATTTATTTGAAATAGAAATCTTTTGCAACATTACAGATGTCTGTCATTATTAATGTCAGTCTTTATCAATTCAGTGCATCCTTGCTGGATAAAAGTATTGAATTATTAAAAAATAATGATGCCAAACTTTTGAATGAAAGTGTAATATAGATGTGTGTGTATATATACACTACCATTACAGTTTCCTGTTTATGCAGGAAATGTTCAACACTTTCGACATCCAGATATTTACTGTAATATAGCGTCACTCATTCTCTTTCTAAACTGATACATATTTTTGAGAAATCAAGTAATTAAACTAATTCTTAAAGACCGGTTTATAGAGGTAATTTAGCGTGTTTTATGTCTAAATGTCAGTGGTGGCAATTTTAAGATGTGAAGCTATCAGCAGCTGTGAATAACTGCTCTGAATTTAATACGCAGTTACCAGTGAGCAGAGCAAGATGAGTTTTCAAAAAAGGCATTTTTAAAGAGATGTTAGCTGCCAGCATTCACCAAATGGATTTTAGGACAAGTGTAAAGTGCAGAGGTACAAAGACGTCACTGAGAAGTCATAACACTTATTTTCAGTACAACATGAAAACGGTCGTGATTCATAAAAAGTAAGACATTTTACATCATGTCTGTGACGATAATGGTGGTTGACTTACAGCTGCCACCATCTTGCATTGCTGTTGTTTACTCTTGACGTTTCAACGTGATACGGGTTATACTTACTCAGGATGATGTACCGTTGCAAAATTTTATGGAACATAACTTTAAAAAAAAAAAAAATTATTTCTTTAAAAATACCATTCAAAATTTTGTAAAGAAATACTTTTATTCAGCAAGGACATGTTAAATTGATCAAAAGTGACAGTAGTGGCTTTTTATTTTTTTTATTTTAATTTTTTCAAATAAATGCTGTTCTTTTGACATTTTTATTTATCAAAGATTCTGGAAAAAGATCAGTTTCCACAACTGTTTTAGAAAAAAAAAGACACGACATCAGCATATCAATGATTTTTGAAGTATCATGTGACACTAAAGACAAGAATAATGATGCTGAAAATTCAGCTTTCGCATCACAGGAATAAATTACATTTTGAAATATGTTAAAATAGTAGGTTGAAATAATATTTATGTTTTTACTGTATTTTTGGTCAAGTAAAGGTAAGCATAAACTTCTTTCAAATACATTAAGTCCTACTGAAACTTTTTTTTAAATGGATATATACTATGGTGTAGATTTTTGTAAATTATTTTTTGACAGATAATTTTGAATTATTTACATGCTTTTTCTTGAACTTTAGGTGAGCCTTGGAAGCCACCAGTTCCTTTTCTCTGTTCATATTGACCCCTCTGAGATGCCCGCTTTCTGCTTACGGCACGATGTTGAAGCACTGCTCTGGCAGCCCCATCCCAACCAGGACAACGATGTATGGGAGCACATTTCAACATTTAACGCACTCGGTAAGGACAGTTGTATGTGAATAATGTCAAATGTTAAACTCCTAAACTTCCCTCGCATAGTGTTTTTACAACCTGAGTCAACCAGCTTTCTTTTTCTATCCTAGTCTTTAGGCTATGTTTACATTAATACAGATTTTCGTTTCAAAATGCTCTTCATCCACATTAGCTTTTTCCAAAAGTTTCTCATCCACTCTGAAACATCGGAAAACGTTAAATTAGCCTTACTGCGCATGTGTAAAGCCCTCATAAAAGTTCACTGAGACGATACAGATGGAACAGACATAAGTTTTCATGCAATTCTTCTGGCAGGATTTTATTTACAAAAATATCTCATCATTCACTCCAGGTCACTCTCACTCCCCATTATATGTTTGATCTAAACCGCAAAACCTAGAGTATACAAAGTAACAAATCTTTAGCAACAGTGTGAAAGGTAATAGCACATAACAGGCACAATACCGGTATAAACATAGCTATCTATTGGTACAATATGCGTCACATGACTAAAAATGCGTCATTGTTTTTACAGTCCACACTACAACAGGATTTTCAAATTTATCCACTTTGGAGAGCGTTTTCTAAAAGGTCCGTTTTCCTTGACCAAAATCCCGTCTCAGTGTGGACGGAAGGCCAAAACGGAGAAGAAGAAAAAAGCATTTTCAAACGAAAACGTATTAGTGTGGACAAGGCCTTAGACATTGAAACAATGTTTTACACCCAGTTCTTATTTCTTATTTCTGTTCAGGTTATGTTCAGGCCTCAAAACGCGATAAAAAGTTCGCAACCTGTGCACCTAACTTCTCCTACGCTGCTCTTTGCGAGTGCCTCAGGCGTGTGTTCATTTACCGCCAGCCCTCGCCGGTTGACACGGTGCTCTTCAACCGGAAGCAGGGTCGGCAGGTTGGGCAGGTTGCCAAACAACAGGTAGCCAACCTGGACACCAATGACCCCGTACTTGGATTCAGGGCCACTAACGAAAGACTGTTCGTCCTGACTGCAAACAACCTGTTCGTGCTGAAAGTGAACAATTAATACTCTCCAGTATTTCTGCTGGATTAGTTGACACTTCTGCTCCAAGGTTGGTCCGGGGCCGTTTTGAGGTCATTGGTGAACATTCGACTTATCCAGTATATGACGGTCATATTTCAAGACCAAGTTGGTATGAACTTCTCTAATGTATTTGCGTGTCTGTGTGTGTTAGCATTTGTCTTTATATGTAAAACATTAAACGCGTTCCTCCAGGGACACAAACTATAGCATGAATGTCACATTCATTCCATTAGAATGTAAAACGGATACATAAAATAAATAAGCATCTGTAAGACCCTGTCTGTTTTCCACCCACATTATGACCACAATCAATGAAGAAGTTAGAAAGTATTTACATTTACCACTGTTGTGTTCCTCGCAGACCATGACCCCATCAGAACAAACCTGCGACCCTTTTTGACAAAGCAATTATTTCACCAGACATGAGTCAGCAGTCAGAATCAACAGATACCAAATGCCATGTGACGACGGCATCAAAACTGGACAGGTGTGATGCATCTCAGAAAAATTGGCTATATACTTACTATGTACTGTATATCATTCATTTGTATACAGTATATATTTATTCAGCATTTTATTTGATTATATACAGTTTTAAGCACTATATGAGATTATATACTGTATATTTATACACACACACACTTCTATATATATATATATATATATCAAATAAAATGCTGAATAAATGTAGAAACATTTTAATATTCATATATAATAATAATAATCACACGTCGCAGTTCCTTGATTTCAAGGAAAGCTGTAAACTGAACCACTAAGCAACATATTCTTACAGTCTCTCGTGTTTTTCTTTGGTTTTGCAATTAATCTCCTTTATGTCTGTTCAGGCTATTGCATGCTTGTTTTTCACCCTGTGTTACAGCCCTTTCAAATATAATTTGTCAGGATCCATAGAGATGTGCCTGGGAGATAGATCTGTCTCGGCTGTTTTGTGTAGTGAGGTGAACCTTATTTGTTCAGGCCTCAGATTAAATCATGTGTTTGTGATTAAATTAGCCTGTGAGGTTTGGATTCATTATCTGCACCAGAAGCACTGGACAGCTGAGAGGAAGATCTGTGAATTCTTCTAATGCTTGCGGAGATGTTGCTTTCTTACTGTGGTGTACATGGACCTGATACCTGATCATCATCGGGTGATGCTTTTACATGAGTGAAGGCTGTTTGCAAACAGACTTTTAACAAGGAATAATTAACAACAGATTGATTAATTATTCAAAATTTCCAGTATTTTTTTTAGTGTATTCATTTATGTACTATAGCTGTTTAAGCAATAATTTAGCTTCATTCTGATATGAAACGTCAATTTCAAAATCCAGTCAAGTCATGATAATTCAAATTAAGTCCTGCACTATATTTTTCTTACTGGATATACTGGTTCACTCAGAAATGTCATATTATGGAAATCTAAAGGGTTGCAAATAGCAATTCATGTTCAAATCTAAATCACATTTTTGCAAATTTCTATATTTAATATTTCGAATTTGCCCACTTTCATTGTAGCTATTCAAGCTGTGGCTAGGTAAAAAAAAAAAATTATGTGATGGCGTGATGATGAATGTGATGTATGATAAATGTGACAACCTATATTTTGGGCATTCGGAAATATTTCTTTTTTTTCCCCAATTTGCAGTCATGCATAAATTATAACTACACTTGCTGTACATTTACATACATAAGTGTAATATAAATGTATAATATTATAATATATATTATATATTTGTATTTGTATTTGTTGATTGCATTTTACAGCATGTACAGTTGTGGGCAAACTGAAATGCTCACTTTAAACTGGGACTGCAACATCTCCGAGAACATTATGGAAAATGCTTCAGTGAATTTGTGTCCTGTTAGTGCTTTCAAGGCACACTGGTGTGATTCAAAATAATCTTTCTGTGGTAGAGATGAGATCTATCTTCTCAAGTGCCGTTTTATATGGGAGGCATGAATCTCATGAGAAAGATGTGTGACAATAGATCATGTCGACCCAATAACAAGGATGTTTCATAAGAACGCAGCCTTATTCTCTTGACCATTTTCAGTCCTTCCTTCCATGCTTTTATTTTAGAAACTCCTTTTTCATGAACAAAACAACCATGGTCATTTAGAAGTAGACATTGACGTCACAAGACATTGGAAAACAGAAAAGCAGCCACTATAGAACGACTATAGGCTACTACATTCGCTTAATGGAAACTATTCTCCGGAACCCGTTTTGGAAGTCGCTGTCTTACCAAAAAGCATCTGCGCGCGCGCTGCACACTGCGATTGGCGCGAACTGAATTTATTAACAACTAAGCGAGTGAGCTTCTCTCTCAGCTGTTGATGTATTTATACACCCTGGGAGCGCCGCATCAGCTTGGGTGCCCTTGTTTTCCCTCTTTGAATTCGGCACCTGTAGTATATGCTTTGAGTGCGCATCTCTCTTCATTTATTATTAACCGAACAATCCTGAAGGAATAAACTCTCGTCTGGAAAGCCACCTCATGCGGAAAGTGCGTTAGCATTCTAGAACAACAACAACAACACAGAAATATGGATAACCCATTTAACTCGAAGCTTCTATAACAGTTAACCGTTAAACTCTGCAAGTGTCCAAACGAGGGCCAGTCGATTTTGCATTATGGGGATTTATGGGATGTATTAGCTTACCCTTGGGCTCATGTTTTGCAATGCATTTCTGTGTTTATTGGTTTCAAAATGTGAAAAAAATGTAAAAGGTTCTTTGGATGTGGAATGGCTGAATGGTTTGAGTTTCAAAGGGAGGTACTGGAGATGTTAATAAAATAATAACCTCGGTAGACGATATGCTTTATGGCGCTGTCAACTTCAGGGACTCGCTATAAACACCAGAGCAGCAGTAAAGATTTCTGAATATGCTTAAATTCCATATTTCACTCTCATTGGTGTGACAAAACCGCATTAACGTTGTATACACTACCGATGTTTTAAATGGTTTTGAAAGAAATCTCTTCTTCTCACCAAGACTGCATATGTTTGATGAAAATTACAGTAAAAACCGTAATATTGTGAAATATTATTACAATTTAAAATATAGTAGTCAACATTTGAAGTGGATCAAAAAAGTTCATCAAAGTTGTCCTAAGACAAGAACGCATTTAGCCTTTAGGACAACTCTGATGAAAGGTTTTGATCCACTTCAAATGTTTACTACTGTGTTTTAAAATCTAATTTATTTCTTTGATGGCAAAGCAGTCATTATTCCAGTCTTCAGTGTCACATGATCCTCCAGAAATCATTCTAATATGCTGATTTGGTGCTCAGTTATTAATAATGGTTCTTATTATTATCACTGTCCTTACTGTGTTTTTGATAAAATGTTGACAACCATGAGGAAAAAACTTCTGATCATGTTTAACTGCTTGATCATATACAAAACAGCTAGGAAAAAGTATGTGAGCCCTTTTGTATTTGCTTGATTTTTTGTCATAAAGTCACAACAGTATCCAAATACAGTCTTAAATAATGCACTTGAAATGATCAAGAATACATTGTGTAAACATTCAAATTTGAGTAGCAATTCCAAGTAACAGCTTATGTGTTCTGAGATCTTTTGTTTGGAAAATTTAGAATTTTGAGTTTAGTGTTTTTAGAATAGCTTATTTAAGCAGACTGTGCTTGTCTTGATATTTTATGACCAATTTAGTCCGAAATCCAAGCCAATCATATACAAGAATCTTTTAGTCCGGTAGACCTCAGAGTTATTTGGTGGTCTTTCTCATCAAATAAACACTGTTGTTTTGTACTGATTAGCTCTGGGTTATAGAACTGCATGTCATGATAAACTTATTTTAGATGTGAGATGCTTTTGGGAAAGAGCGAGGAAAAACTGTGAATTGATGAGAAAGATGAAAAGAGAAAAGCAGGGATAAATGGGGTATGAAGATGAGCTGTAATGGATGTATTAATCTCAAGAACAACTTATTAATACTGTGTACACACACACACACACACACACACACACACACATATATATATATATATTTAATTTAAGACACCATTGTCAGATTTTATTGCTGATTTGATGTATGTTATCAAAACACAAACTTGACAGAATGTACACATGTATGCCAGCATAAAAAAATATCTGCCCAAGGTGTTTCCAATGTTTCCACCAAGTTGACTTTTATTATTATGTAACTTGTACTGGTACTTATAAATAACTTTCATATTTTTGGATGGTTACTTCTCGGTTTTCTTTTTGTTCTAACTGAAGACAGCATAACAGTTTAACTTCAGGCCTTTCCAATTTTTCCACTTTTTTTGAAGATCCTTTTGATGTTTTTTTTTTTTTGCAGGATTAAACACATGTGTTTGCAATATTTAAATTATAATTTGAATTGCCGCTGAACTTCAGTTTAGGCGAAGTCTAGACATCAAATGTTACATAAACACCATAATGCTGTGTAATTACAGTAATTTTGTCTTATTTTATTCAGTGGAGTTTAATAATCTTACAATGAATTTACTTCAACTTCTGATATTCAGTCTGAGATCATTTGAAGTGTAAATGATGATAGGGCCATTACTATAATTACAAGCAGAATCAAATTTTAAAACTGACAGGGGACATAATATGTGGATAATATTGTGCTAAGAGGAAGAAGAAAAGGTAAAAGCAGAGCTAATTAAAGGGACCAACAGAAAATGTATCACTTGCAGGAGGTGAAGTATTAGCCTTGACCTTTTGCATGAACAAAAAGCAAAGTTTCCAAAAGATCTGCATCAAGCAGAATTGTTTAGACTCAATATTTAATATTTATTTAATACTCATTTAAATTTTTACTTTTCCATATTTCTTATTTTCATATTTAAAGGGATAGTTCACCCCAAAATCAAATTTCTCTCATCATTTACTCGCCCCATGTCGATCTAAACCTGTATGACTTTTTTGTAGGAGATATTTTGAAGAACAATGGGGTCCAAACAACAATAGTTTCAGGTTTGAGACCACCATTTTATTTTTTCAGTTTGAGTAGATAAAAACCCTAGCCAGGCCTATATTGCTGACGGTCCCTTTCTTAAATCCACTTGAGCACATGAACATCTCTAGGGTGTTTACTAGAATGTAATTTGATAATGCACTTGTTGTGTTTTTTCCTAATATATTGAATAAAGAACGAATAGCACAATGTAGAATGTCAGTTGCCACCTATAGGCTCAAGGTGACATTGCACTTAATGAATTATATTTATTATTTTATGTGTTTCTTCTGCTGAGCTGGCCAGTATAGGAACACAGTGGTCAGTCTTTTTTTAAGATTTATTTTTGGCGTTTTATGCCTTTTATTTAGATAGGACAGTAGGTCGACAGGAAGCGAAGTGGGTGAGAGAGATGGGGGTGGGATCGGGAAAGGTCCACGAGCCAGGATTCGAGCTCGGGACGCCCGAAGCGCAACGGCGCTACATATCGGAGAGCTGCCCACCACGAGGTCAGTCTTTTAAATATCGTTTTGTCCTTTCATCCGTTTGCCACAATGTTGAATTGATTAGCTGAGTATTT